TTACTTAACCCCTCTTGAAGCTCTTGATGGTTTGTGGAACATCAAGGAAAAGTTAGTAAGCATATCACGTAGTAAAACACTCATGTCTGTAATTTAGGCATTGTCTTGGTCCTTCCAGTAACTCTGCCATTCTGTAATGTCTCTGCAGTCTGGCTTATCTTTCCTTTTCGGTGTTGATTTTAGTCTTTTCACCTTGCAATAAAATGTGACTCATCTGACCTGCACTACTAGCCCCTAATTTTTTGTTTTTGAGTCAGATTCTCCTAGCATGACCCAGTCTGCTCTCAGACTCCTGTCTTCCTTCTCTAATCTCCTGAATGCGAGAATCATAGGCCTGTACAGCCATACCAGGCATCCCTTCTGAAGGTTTGCAATTACCCTATAACTGATATACCAAGGTACTCTGAATGCAGCACTTTGAATATAATCTTTAAAAAATGTACAGTAGACCTCAGACCTTCCAGGAGCTTTCTATCCCCACATTGTAAAAATCATATGTCTTCCGAAATACCAATAAACCCGGTGATATCATCATGCTGGTTTTAGGCTTACTGCTTTTCCTCCCAATCAGCTGGTGGTGTTTTCAAGCCCACAAGCACATTTCTGCCTCAGGGTCTTAGCACTCCCAGCAGAGCTGACAAATGCAGACTCCTTCCAGATTGCTGCTGGAATGCCATTTTCCTGTTGGAACATTCCCTAAGTTCTTTACATATTTCTCACCACTGCATTTATCCCTCTTTGATGCCCTGTGTATTTTTCTTGTTTATTTTTTTTCCTCCCCAGATCTATGTGTTTTGCAAACTTCAGTATGTATCAGAACCCCTTCGAGCATAGGTGACCATGCTGGTCCTGAGAGTCAGATTCAGTGGTTCTGGGTTGGTTGTGGCTTCAGATCTCACCCTTCTGCTGAGTTTCAGGTCCATACTGAGCATGCTGTCCCCAATCACACCGAGAGAACCATGTGCTGAAACTGCTCTGTACAGTAAGGTAGCCACGTGTTGCACATGAGTGAATTTAAACTACAGTTAGGGAACCCAATTCATGAGTTCTTCAGCTGAATGGCCCATGTATTGGATAGCAGATATCTATTAGATTAAAAATGATTTTTTTTTAATTTTCTCTTTTATCCCAGAATTACAACTTATGTATCTGGTCTACTTGTAGTTTAATTTGGTATAAAGAAAAAGGTCGATACATAAATTTTGAATTCATTGGACAGCTAGTCACCTTCCCCAGCATTACTTCTTGAAAGTTCAGCTCTTTTCCTAGAGATCTGAAATACTATTTTTATCTGCAGTAGTGAGTACATGTGTGCATATGTATGTGTACAAATTCATTGGACAGCTAGTCACCTTCCCCAGCATTACTCCTTGAAAGTTCAGCTCTTTTCCTAGAGATCTGAAATACTATTTTTATCTGCAGTAGTGAGTACATGTGTGCATATGTATGTGTACAAATATGCATATGCTTGTGTGCCAGATGTGAGCTTGCACATGTATATTTGTGCCTATGGCAGAACTGTCTAATTTGTTGCAGTTACCTGAGAATAGGAGACTGTTTTTAGTGCAAAATTGAATTCACAAATTGCCATGGAGAACTGAACCTAGAATTATAGAATGAGGAAAAGTGTTATAAAGAAGTTCCAGTTTTCTGTTAGCTTTAAGAGAGGTGTTTTTACTAAATGACCTTTAGGTAGTGTTGAGTTCAGAGGTGATGATGAAGTTATAGTCAGTGTGCTACCTCTTCCCATGAAAACTGGTATCATGCATATGTTACAGATAACTAAATTGACTGAGGTTATAAGCTATTTTAATATTTTTAATGAAATCCGTACTCCTTATTAAATTTAAAAAGTAATGTTTGACAGAAATACCAAAATATTAAATGGCTAAATAATACGTTATTCTTCTATTTTAGAAATGGATTTGTTCCTTAAATCTTTATATGCTTGTATATCCAAAGATGAAAAATGGGGCTTAAAAACGGAGATAAAAGAAACTGAAAGATAAACTTATTCAGAGTAATTTGACTCTGTTAATTTATATTTCTTGTGAAACTTCTTAACATCTGTATATTTAGAAAATAAAGGTATTGAATTGTTAGCTTTATCCTTCTATTTTTATTCCTTTTCACTTTTATGTGTCCATAGTAGAGGAAGAAATATGATCTGTGCACATCACCATTTACACAGACACAGCAGCAGACGGGTGTCCATTTGGTTGGCAATGGAAGGTGTCTTTAAGCCTCTGTTTCTATATACAGTATTTACCTAGACATTATCTATTTCTAATTATTTACTATTGAGGAGAGGATCACAATAGCTCAATTGCTCTGTACATCTGACCATATAAGATGATGTAAGCAAAATGAACTCCAAGAAATAGAAATGAAGATTTTTCTTTGTTGTTGTTTTTAATGTACTCTGTGAAGTTATTTCCTTTTTCTTTTCCCCCTCTTTGGTTTATCTCTGTTGTCACTGTTTTTTTTTTGTTTTTTTTTTTAAATTTTGGTACCTTGTGTCTTGTATATATGTTAATCTGAATTGGGGAAGGAAGGGGAATAATAGTGAGACAAAGGATAAAGGGTGAACCAATGTAACAAGTGATACTCACAAGACAATATGTTGGAAATGAACTTTACAACTTGGGTGTGGTCATTATGGAGGATAAGTGGGAGAAAAACAAGGGAAGGGGGTAACAGTGTTCAACAAGAAATGTACTCATTACCTTATGTATGTAACTGTAACCCCTCTGTACATCACATTGACAATAAAATTAAATTTAAAAAATAGAAAGTATCAGTTCCAAATTTAGAATTAGTATGCTGGCATCAGATTTCTCTCATAGAAGGAATATAAACTTGTATAAATCAGTGTACATTTCATTTTCTGGATGAAGTTTAAAATGTACTATGCAAAGGTAGAACTTGGGCAATACTAGACAAATCTATATAGAGACATAATGTGTAGCTTTATAGAAGCATGTCAAATTTTTAAATATTATTGTGTAAGTATCAAAGATAAAAGGAATGGATTTTGTGGACTGAAGCATTCTAAGCAGCTTTATTTATTTAGCCAGTCCTGAGGCTTAAATTCAGTGTGTGGCCACTGTTTATGAGTTTCTTTTGTTCAAGGTGAGTGCTCTACTACTTGATTCACAGCTCTACTTCCAGCTTTTTTGGGAATTTATTAGAGATGAGAGTCTCAAATACTTTTCTGCCCATGCTGGCTTTGAACCATGATCCTCACTGAGTGTGAACCATTGGCCCTCAGCCAGCTCATTTTTTAAACTGAGTGGTTTAGTTAGTCTTTAAAAAAAAAAAACAGCACAAACAAAAACCCTTTCTTGATGTATGTACTATAAAATACTGCTTAGATGTGACTAAGGAGAAGGGAGGAGGCATCATTAAGAAATCTACCACTTTAGTGGCATACCCCTATAATCCTAGCAACTTGGAAGGCAGAGATAGGAAGAACAAATACCATTGAAAGCCAGGGCTGGATAAAACCAGATCTTTTCTGTAAAATAACTATTGAAAAAAAGGGGCAGGGGCTTGCCTCAAATAGTAGAGTGCTTGGCTTTCAGGCATGAGGCCTTAAATTCAAATCCTAGTACTGACCAAAAAAAACCCAAACCAACAACTGAAAACAGAAAAAAATAACCATTTTGTGATTGCATGGAGATTGGGACGACTTTTGGTAACTAGTAATGTGAGGGTGAGACACAGGTGAGCACATGGGATGAAAATAAAACAAAAATTGTTGTTTGACCACAGAGTTACACGTGACTAAATAACTGTGCCTTTCCCACCCTGACTTCTGTGTTAAAACTAATTTGCAGAGGCTACAAATTAACAGCTGCACTTTGGAGGATGAGATGAGGTACTATATGCACACAGGTGTACGACATTTAATGTGAGCATGAATTTCCAGTCTCATTTCCTTCTCAGGTTCCTAAAAGCCAATAGCTAGGTTCATATTCTCTGTTTGTTTGTTTTTGTTTTTGTTTTTTGGTCCTTCGTGGGGCTTGCACTCTGGGCCTGGGCGCTGCCCCTGTGCTCTTCAGCTCAAGGTGAGCGCTCTATCGCTTGAGCTACAGTGCCACTTCCGGTTTTCTAGTGGTTTATTGGAGATAAGAGTCTCACAGATGTTCCTGCCTGGGCTGGCTTTGAACTGTTATCCTCACATCTCAGCCTCCTGAGTAGCTAGGCTTACAGGCGTGAGCCACCAGTGCCCGGCTAGGTTCATATTCTCTACTCAAAAAACTGGAGTATCAGGGCTGGGAAGGTGGCTCAGTGGTAGAGCGCTTGCCTTGCATGCATGAGGCCCTGGGTTCGATTCCTCAGCACCACATAAGCAAAAAGAAAAGTCTCTCCTGCCTGGGCTGGCTTTGAACCTCAGATCTCAGCCTCCTGAGTAGCTGGGATTACAGGCGTGAGCCACCAGCGCCCGGCTATGGCTGACTATCTTGTAGTTTGATGATGATAATAATGATGATGTGTGTGTGTGTGTGTGTGTGTGTGTGTGTGTGTGTGTGTGTGTGTGTGTGTGTGTGTGTGTGTGTGTGTGTGTGTGTGTGTGTGTGTGTGTGTGTGTGTGTGTGTGTGTGTGTGTGTGTTTGCCTGCCAGTCTCGAGGCTTGAACTCGGGGCCTGGGCATTGTTCCTGAGCTTTTATGCTCAAAGCTAGTAGTGTTCTACTATGTAAGCCAAAGCTCCCCTTCTGGCTTTTTGGTGGTTAATTGGAGATAAAGTCTCATAGATTCCCCCCTCCCCCAGCCTTGCTGAGTTAGGACTGTGATCCTCAGATTTCAACTTCCTGAGTAGCTTGGATTAAAGGCATGAGCCACCTATGCCACCTGTAGTTAGACTTTAAGCTGTTCTTATAAATGTAGTTTTCTTGTCTTGCTTTATCTATTAAAGACAAGGACAGCAAAATAAGTATCAAGGCAGTAATTTTATCAATTATGGCTCCTTGTTTCCATCATTTATCTTGTCTTTCAGTAAACCTATGATGGACTTGCTGATATTTCTCTGTGCACAGTATCACTTAAATCCTTCCAGCTACACAATCGATCTGCTGTCGGCTGACCAGAATCACATTAAATTTAAGCCAAACACACCAATAGGAATATTGGAAGTAGAGAAGGTCATTTTAAAGCCAAAAAATTTGGATAAGAAGAAGCCCACACCTCTAATACCAGAGGTAAGGATTCTATTATAGATTTTGATATCTAATGACTACCTTATTAAGTTTATTTTTGATCCTGTATCTCATTGTACATGAACTAAAATTTGACTTTCTGGCCAAATTTTTTCTGACTCTAGTTACCATGTTTGCTTAGGCCACTTGGTTTAAAATTCAGCTCACTGATGCCTCTTAGATCAACTAAAATTGAGGAGCTACTTTAGATATCAAATGATGAATGTAATTGTAACTGAAAATTAAGCTCTGACAATTAGGAATGTGAAATATTTTAGACTCATGCTTTAAAAGTAATAAAAGATAAATAAAGTAATAAAAAATACAAAAAAAATTGGGTTTGGCCATTTGGAAAATGGCCACTCTACCATTAACAGTTAAATTACAACATTTGAGCTTCACAATGACTCAGTTTCCTTTGATGTAAAATTTTTAATTAAAAAAATTTTAACCTCAGTGATTTTAGTGAAATCAACTTTCTCTACTCTCCTCAGTATTGGGGTCCCAGCCCAGGGCCTCATATATTCCCAGCAAGCATTCTGTCCCTAAGCTAACACTATAATACTTAATCCATGCTATTCTATTGTTGTTAATGATATACAAGTTTATGATTTTCAAAAAATACTCCATTGTGAACACCATTTTTTCACTTCTTAAAATTCATATAATTTTGCTTATTAAATTGATAGTTTACACATGTGTATGAGTTGAATACATGTGTTCTCACTTCATAAAAATATCGACAGGGATTATGTAATATAACATTTGTTGTGACATATAATTGAACATTAAATATTAAGACACTGAGTTTCCTTTTGTCAAACTTTGTATTTATTGAACATCCAAACTATTTATATAGACGGAAGTAGTTTTATTCCCTTAATTATACATGGGGTTTTAGTTTTATGAATAAATATCTTTGAGAATCTGCAACTGTGGACTTTTCTTGATATGTTTTGTTTATATACACGATCAAATTCAATTACATCAATATATGAGAAATGTAAAAGATTCCTAGTAATTTTATATCCATTGAGGCCACTGATAAAACATTCAAATAAGAAATATTCATTCAAATAAGAAATATTCCTCAAATGAAAGATAGAATAAAGCGTGGGTAATGCTTATGTATGTTTGCTAATTTTAAAGTATATATATTTTTTAAAGTAAAAGCAGTAGTATTGGATATGAGGCTTTTTGGGGACTTAAATCTGCTTATGCTTTTATAATATAAAGGGTTGTGAATCAAGAAATAAATACTTGATTTTTTAAGTGATCTTGAATTTACAACCCTTGATATGAAAAAGAATTTTACAAAGGAGAGAGACATTTTTCCATGTTTATGACTGTAGATTGACTCATGACTGCAGACGTCACTGTAGAAAGCTTGTTTCAATAAATACATAACATCATAGGATACTCATGAAGCAGTCGGTTATGCATGATACACACACACACACACACACACACAGCACAATGATTTAACTAGGCTTTAATCCTTGTTCCAGAAAACTGTGAGGGTAGTGATCAACTTTAAGAAAACACAGAAGACCATAGTGAGAGTTGGCCCCCACACACCACTTCAAGAACTTCTTCCTATCATATGTGACAAATGTGAGTTTGATCCACTGCATACTCTGTTGTTGAAAGACCATCAATCTCAGGAGCCCCTGGACCTGACAAAATCTCTTAATGACCTGGGACTAAGAGAATTATATGCCATGGATGTCAGCAGAGGTGAGTTACATTTTCTGTTTTGTCTATTTGACAGAAAATGTATAGGTATATATATACGTATAGGTGTATACATTGTTTTTATAAATGGGTATTCTCAAATTCCATAATGGCAAGTTAATTGATCATATAGATAACAGTACATATATTACATAATGTATTACTGGGAATAAGAAGAAAAAACTAAATGTAAATAAAAATAAATCAAGGGAAATATAAAATGCAATTTGATTTTAGTTATTGAACTTGGAAGAAAACTTGTCTTTTTACCTATCAATCAGTATTTGATTTTGCTATCTATGACTTTTTTTTTGCATGTGGGATCTCATTATGTTGTCATCTATTGTGGAGTTGAACTTCAGAACTTGAAGGATCTTTCTGCCTCAGTGTCCTAAGTAGCGTGGACTACATTATGGGCCATTATGCCCAGCATTGTTCTAACAGAAAACAAAATGAAAAATCCATGATATTGTTATCAAGTATGAGTTGTTTAAATATACATATTTTATACTTGTGTGAAGCATAGTTATTCAAATTTGGAAATTTCTTGCCAAATTTTTTTCTTAAGCCAATACCTAAATAAGCTGGCTTGTAAACTGTATAAGTCTAATTCCAAAAATTAAACTATACAAATAATAGAATGCATTACAATTCAGAGATCATAAATGATGCTTTCCTATAATAGCTAACAAAATCAAGGGTTCTTTTATTCAATATGAGTCCTTTTTTACTGGGAGGAATAAAAGTTTAGTGAAGAAGAAAATTCACATATTCTTTTCCTAGAGAGCTTCAGAGATTGTACCCAAGTGGCATTATGTAATCCAAATACAACTTTTTCTTTTTTATTGTGAAAATACCATACAGAGAGGTTACAATTACATGGGCAAGGTAATAAGTACATTTCTTATCAAGCATTGTTGCCTCCTCCTTTGTTCCAAATACAACTTTTTCAACTCAGTGATGTTTCTTTATAAAAGAATAAGCATCATCTTTACAGTCAATTTACCCTTTTTTACTTCCTCCTGCTGTAGCTACTTCTGTTTCTGCCTTCAGTAAGTCATCTTTACAAGGTAAGACATGTAAATCAATAGAAACTATTGTAACAAATTGAAAACAAGCTTCTATCTTTACCTGTTGTTTTAATATTACTAACACATTCTGTAAGAGATTTTTTGACTTAGGAATATAATTTGTAGATTTTTTTCTTTGATTTCTAAATTTAATTTAAAAATTCATTTTAATAAATACTTAAAAATTGTATCATCGTAGAGCTTGACATGGTGGCACATGCCTGTAATCTCATCACTCTAGGGGCTGAGGTGGGAAGATTATGAGTTCAAGGTGAGCCTGGGTTACATAGCAAGTCCTTGTTTCAGAAACAACTATCTATATCCACATATATATATATGTATAATATATATATATATATGTATATTACCCAAACATAACAAAAATAAATCAAACAAGACAGATGTAAACCAATTTTAAAGCATGACAAAACTACTTTCTTAACAAGTAACTGATTTTTCTAGGATCTTTATTAAGTATAAGTTCTAATAGTTTGGTGTTAGGTTGGACGCATCTCAGATAATTGCCACTGAGAAATATTCACTGAAGTAACTATATATTCATCAGAGGACTATTTGCTATCACTCAGTTTTTTGTGAATATTTTGTGATAATGTGTTAAATTAGTATGTTAAAATGAGCTTTTAAAGCATGTATACCTGTAATAGAATATGTAGAAAATCCTTTTAAATAGGATTTCTGAAAGGAAATACATAAAAAATTTAATCGTGGTTACCTTTTGGGTCTTCTGGCTATGGGTAGCTTTTTATGTTTCTTCATGTTTTTAAATGACTGTGCATTGCTTTCTTGGAATAAACCTTTATTAAAAAATGCCCAGTAATAAACTCTGAATGTCTTCCTCCATTAAAAAGTATAGACTCAGATAATTGATTACTCTAATAATAACTACCTACATAAAAACACGTTAATAAACTGCACATTATCTTTTATTAGAATTTTCTTTCATTACTATTTTCAGCTTTCCAAAAGCACCCTGACACTCTCAATTCCAAGAAGCCACCCCACATACACAGTAGTATGTTTGCTTGCATTCCATGGCTGTCATGAAGACCAACCTAATTAAAGCAATTGAAAATTCTTATGATCTGAAAGTGTATACTGGCCAAGAATCAGAAAGCCTCTTGTCAATTCTCACACCACTGTGAGAATTCGCTGTCAAGCGAATTTGGCAAGCTGATGGGGAAAATAGCTTTATCTGTCTGGATCTTGCATTCCACTTCTATAATAATACTAAAGAAATTGCAAAAAGTAGTCTCAGGTTTCTTCCAGAAACAGCATTGTGTTTCTTGTAATTGGCCTTGCTCCTAACCTCCCTGCTCCCTAAACATTACCCTAAGCAAGTTTCTTAATATTTTTAGCCTTGTGTTTAGGCTGTTGACTGCACTGACTTCTAATATCCCTTTTAGCCATGGAAGTATTGTTGCATTGATTCACCCTTTGCAATGGCGATATTCATAAAACACTATGTTGGAAATGAATTGTCTGGGGGGAGGGAAAGTGGAAGACAAATGAGGGAGGGTAACAGTTTACAAATTTGACAATAAATGTACTCACTACTTTATGTATGTAACTGTAACCCCTCTGTACATCACCTTGACAATAAATTTTTTTAAAAGACTAAAGAATGATAAGCACTAATGTGAATATAATAGAACCATTTTTTCAATGTATTGAAAGAAAGTACCTGTAGGAGTTAATATATTGCTCAGTGATAACTTTCACAAATTAAAGCAATAAAGACCTTTATATATTAAAATGTTTAAAGGAAATACTGTTTTTTTTTCTAGAGGATTAAATGTGAACAGAACCATAAGAGAATGGAATAGTAAAATAAAGAAAGCTCTTTTGTTAGTATCAGGATCTAATCTACTAGGTCAACCCAAATGCTGTAAATGCCCTTATTTTCTTGTTTTTATTGGGTTGGATGTTATTCTCAGTCTTAGAACATTGCATGCAATCACTTTTATTCTCTTCTAGAAAAAGGAGGTACAATATTTGACTTGCTTTTCATAGTAAACTCAGGTCTTCAACTGTGTGCATTAGTATCTAACTCTGACTTGAAGTGACTCTTACACTGCTTTAAGTGAAGGCAAGATGACTAGGTGCCTGGAAATCATTGTTTGAAATGCTCTGCTTATGGTATTTATTGCACTGTGCTGCTGTATGAATCTTCCACCTGTTTTGAAAATATTCAATTGTATACATTTAATTAATAGTGTATTAATATCTTGAAATACCAACATAAAAGGGAAAATTATGGGTATTAGAAATATTATTTATATGGATACTAATTTTAAGTCAAATACTAACTGCCTTTGTATCTTCATGTAAGTTATTCAAATCTCCGGTCATCTGATTCCTGAAGTAGGAAATGGGCTAATAATATCACTGCTTCTACTTCTTTACCTCTTACATGGTAACCCAAATGGAAAAAAAAAAGCCCCAGGATAATAAATTATGATTCCTCCCTCACAAGAATATTTTAATAAACAAATCAGGAGTGTGAAAAAAAATTTTAACCTCAAACTAATCTTTAATTGTGATTGGTTTAGACATTATTGAGCTTGTGAAATTTCATGCTACTAATCTAATATTTAAATTATTAGATTTAAGTTTTAATTTGTGGAATACAGATTTTTCTTAATATGTTTGTGAAGCGTATTGCATTAATATGTGTATTGATATTAACTGCTTTTCTTTGCTAGAGTACACCCACATTGTTATAAAATACTGACTTTTTAAAGATTTGTTTTAAATAAAGGAAGAATGTGCATTTACTGTTCATTCCTGCTTTTGCTAAAGTTTTGATGTAGACTGCATTGTTTCCAGTGCCATTGATTATATTGTGATTCCCTTATGAAACTCTCACGTTCCTTTATAGAAATTGTGTTTGGAAATTCCTTCTTTTCTTCAATTTTTGAATGTACAATTTATGTTTTGAAGAAACTGGTTGATTGTCTTACAGCTTATCTCATTAGGATATTTGCTGATACATCACTTTGTGTTTTATTGTCCTTTCTCATACCTGTAAAGTGATTATTAAGGCTAGAGACTTGGTCAAGATTTGGATCTGGGTGGTGGCTTACTTACTCTCAGTTAAACAAGGGTAGGGTTGAGTCTAGAAGTTCGAGTCCAGTCTGGGGTGCATAGCAAGAGTCTGTGAGAAGAAAAACAAAGGAAAGGAAGGAAGAAAGAAGAGAAAGAAAGAAGGAAGGAAAGGAAGGAAGGAAGGAAGGAAGGAAGGAAGGAAAGATAAAAAGATAGGAAGGATAGAGAAATAAACCTTATAGGTTTTGTATTTCTGTTAGCAGACATAGTAATGTTACTAACCATCAATATTTATTTTCTGCCTCTTAACTAGGGATTGAGAAAAAGGGTGGTAGTCTATTTCAAACCTTCTATTATTATTAGCTGATATATATCTACAAAAGCAACCTTCCTCTGATCCACTATTTGTCCACTAAGTATGCCATCAGAAGGGCAAGATGAAAGTGTGTTTTTTCTCTTTGTTTTCACCAGTTCTTAAACTCATGGTCCTATTCTTTAGCACGACCCATAGGTTAACAATGCAACTGGATTGTTTTAGTATTATTATGAATGAGTTAAATTAAGCACAAGTGATCTGCTTTCATACATGGAATTCTTTTTAGGATATTAAACATCTCAGGATGTTTCCTGTACCTGCGAATCATGACCCTAGCAGATATCGACAGCTTCTCTCTGCCATGACTTCTTGCTTCAAATTCATCATATATATTTTAGATTATTTATTTGCTTATTTTTATTATCTTTAAGTTGTTATGCAAATGAGTTGCCACTTAACAAAGCAGTTTATGAATACAATGTATCTTGATCAGTGTGGCCTCTTTCAATGTTCTCGAAATCAACAGAAAATCAACCATTCTTCAACAGTAGTTTATAGTGGAAAATGGAACAGGACTTGCTGGACTGTGGGGCTCAACAGTACTGGATTGGTCATTATAATCCCTTTCAGTTGACGCTAGTTGTCAGTATTAGGTTTTGGACTCAAAAATCTTGCTGTTACTCAACTGGTGTTTTACCACTTGAGCCAGCCTCTACTTTGGCTTTTTGCTGCTTTGGAGATGGAATTTGTCAAACTTTTCTTCCCTGGCTAGTCTCAAACTGTGGTCCTTCAGGTTTTAGGTCCTGAGTAACTATGATCACAGATGTAAGCCACAAGCTCCTGGCTCATAATTATTTGGATTATCTTTTTGTTTTCACGTCTGAAGAATTCGCATTATGTAACACAGATTGTTATAGGTATTGAGTTTGTGTTGTAGCTGTGATTTTAGGTCCTGATTATGTGTTGTAGCTTCTTCAAGCTTCAACTCTCTCTGCTGTGACACAGGAACAATATTGGCTGGTTGCTTTGAGGATGGAATGAGAGATACAGTCCTTTGCAGACTAGTAACTGTTATCATTAGATAAGTTTTTTAAAGGGAAGGAAAAGAACACCTTACTCATGAATATGCTATCCTGTCAACAAAAGTAACTTGCATTTCTTCTTTTTCAGAATCCTGTCAAATACCGCAAAACTTAGACATCATGAAGGAAAAAGAAAACAAAGGGTTTTTCAGCTTTTTTCAGCGCAGTAAGAAAAAGAGGGAACAAGTAAGTATTTTTAAGGTAGTACTTTAAGATTTCAAATCCTTTGTAAAAATTATGACTGCATTTTATCTTAAAATTACATATAGACATTACCTTTTAATTCTGCATTAGACTGCCAGTGCTCCGGCCACACCACTCATAAATAAGCACCGCCCATCTTTTACGAGGTCCAATACCATTTCTAAACCCTATGTTTCAAACACCCTGCCATCTGATGCACCCAAGAAGAGACGGGCTCCACTGCCTCCCATGCCAACCTCCCAGAGTGCACCCCAGGACCTGGAACATATCCAGAACAGGCCAACTTCTTGTGTGATGAAATCCACAAGCATGGATGAAACAGACAAGGTACGTTAGTTTGTTCTGTATTGTTAGGATGACCATTGATTTTATTTTCCTTTAACCAACTTGTCACTTTCCACATAGACTCCTAAGAAAATTAGTAACAGTTATTAATATGATGTAAGATGTCGCCATCATAAGACTAGGACTGTGGAAAAATTACCTACAGTTCTGCCATTCAGAGAAGAATAATGTCAGTTTGCAGTAGATTTTGTACTCAAGCAAACAAATGACCCATAGACAATCTTGAATTACTAATGCCTACCTAGGAGCTCCTGCTTGAAGACTATATTAATGATAAAAAAAAATCCTTAATGCTCAAGTACTTTTTAAAAAAATCGGCAACACGGGTCTTTCTTTGTGTTAAGTTTCTGGGTTTCTGTTTGTATCTTCTTGAATTGACTGTGATTCTCTTTGAGAAAAGTCGGTGTCCTGCTAGTCTATTGATTCTTTATTTTTTTAATGAATCATGAGATAAAATAATATGCAATTACATTTATAATCTCCTATGTTAAAAGCATTGTTCTGGGTGATCATTTCATCAAAATTTTATTATTATTACACCACTCTAATCCCCAAATTCCCTTAACATTGCCTTTTCATGGAGGATCTATTTGCAAACTACTCTTCATCTAAAATATCTGAACATTCTTGGCTTCATGCATGTGGAATACACATAAGTTTTAAGTAAATATGACAGAGTCTGAGTCCATCTGTTCTACTGCTTGCTACCAGACAGGACAGCGAGATCAAAATTTCTTCTGCAATATTTGAGACACTGCATAGTTTTCTTATGTTTAATGAGAGGGTTTTATTTCCCTCTTGGAAGTTTAGTGAATTCAATACCCAAGTAAATCAACTCTTCCCAAGTACCCAATACACATCCATCCATATGTATGTATAAACAAACATATATACATATATCAGTGTGGTTTCTTTATTTAGAGGAACTATAGTTTTTAAATAGCTTGTTAACTATCATATGTACACACACACACACACACACACACACACACACACACACACACACACACACACACACACACACTTATCTTCTACTTTAGTACCAGTCAGCTCAAGGAAAGCATCAGTAGGTAGATTTCAGTCCATATCTGGCCCTAGAGCTCAAACACAGATCTTATCTGGAAATTATAAAGTAGCACTGGGCTAAAGAGCTGAAGTGGTAAAATGTCTATCTAGAAAGGACATTGTCCACAGTTCAAATCTCAAATGAAAGTAACTACTCAAAAAGAAATGAATTTAAAAAAAAATTAGCTTTAGAAGTTGCTTAGAAAACTAGCAGCCAAATGTCTTTGCATTATTGTTAAAAATGTTAAATTCCATGAACATTAAGTTTATGATATAAAATCTCATCAGTGAACTGAGCCCAGGTAGCACATGCCTGTAATCCTAGCTACTCAAGATTGTGGTTGAAACACAATCCATGCAGGAAAATCTTTGAGATTTACACTAAAGCCAGAAGTAGAGCTGTAGCTCAAGTGGTAGAGTACTAGTCTTGAGCAGCAAAGCTCAGGGACAGAGCCTGGCCCTGGCTTCATACCCCAGGACACACACACACACACACACACACACACACAGACACCCCCCCCCCCACACACACACTCTCTCTCTCTCTCTCTCTCTCTTTCTCTTTCTCTCTACCTCATAAGGAAGAATTGTATTTTTCTGATGATGGAATCCTTTTCTGACAAAGTATTATGGGATATCTGCTTGGTTGTTGGGTAGTCTTGACCCTGAGTCAATAATTCAGTTCAGTCTTAGTACTAGTGGGTGTGAGATTCCAAATGCAGACAATGGTGTGCCCGGGCATGAGCAAGAAGCAGACTAAAACCAAGCAAGGAAAGCAGAGGTGAAGTCAGGTTCAATGACTTTCTTTTGTGTTATATTCCCTTTAAATTTCTTCATAAAGGAAAGGAGCATTTTCAAGATAATTTTCTATTTTTAATTATAGTAATGCTACTTAGTAATACTGTAAATTATTATACTTACAAGTAGCTATGCAAGTATCTCTTTCTATAGGAGGGAACAGTCTTAGGCTCTGCTTGCAAATCTGTCTTTTAGCTGTCCTTATTCACTGCCTATGGTAACCTTCCTTTGTACTTGATTCCGCAAGAGGTCTCCCTCTTGCAATTTTGGGTAGGACTGCCAGTGACCTCACTGAAAGCTATTTCTTTTGATTCTCACCCTCAGCCCTATGACCAGTTGGTGCCCCCGTGTTAAGCAATTTTTTTTGTCTGTTGCCTTTGGCAAGCTGCACATCTTTATACAATTTTCTAATTATTTTTTCTTTTGATCTGGACATCTGGATAGTTCTTTGATGTATTATTCAGCAAAACCCAGAATTATTTGTTTTTCCCTGGAGAAGTTAAAGAATCACCACTTATTTATTCATTACAGAATTTCTAATAATTATACTGTGGTGCTTATGTTTCCCACACACACACACACACAAATTCATGATTTCCCAAGCATCTCAGTACTTACTTCCTTAATTTGTGGCCACATATAATATGATTTAGTATTGATTTTGTTCTGTTCCTTGACCTTTTCTTAAAAACAATTCTATTCCAGTACTAGGGTCTGGGCACTGTCTCTTAGATTTTACACTGAAGCTTGGTACACTACCACTTGAACAACTCCACTTCTAGCTTTTTGCTGGTTAATAGGATATTAAAGTCTCATGGACATTTTTGCCTGGGCTGGCTTCAAACCATGATCTGCAGATCTCAGCCTCCTGAGTAGCTAGAACTACTAGGCATGAGTCACCAGTACCCAATAGTACTGTTCTCAGAACTTAATTACTTTCTTCTTTTATTTCTTTCTTTAATCTCACTACTACTTTCTTTGTACATTTCTTCAATAAAGATACTGAAATCCATGGTCTTCTCTGTATTTGTCTGACTCTTTAAAGTAAGACATTTATTCTTTTGTTGAGTTTTTGTGCTGATGCTTTTCAACTATGATGATTTGAACAATGTCTCCGTAAGAGAGGTGTCCAGGTCTTAACTTCCAATACCTATAAATAATGCCTTACTTAGAAACACTTTCTGCAGGGATAGAGATCACTTGGGGTTTTTTTAATGTTGGCTTCAAATACAGTAAGTTTTCTTCTAAGAAAAGAATTCACAAGCATAGAGACACCAGAGAGCTCTTTGATGACCAAGGCTCAGCTTGGTTTTCTCTGTATATCCAAACAATGCTAGGTACCACTAGAAGGGAAGACAATGTTTTCCTTTAGGGGAATACGGCCTTGCGGAAACTTTGATTTTAGATTTCTGGCTTTCAGAGGCATGTAAGATAACTTGGTGTTTCTCTTAGACTTATTGTTAATTTGATATATCAGCCTTAAAATACTGATAATAAACCAGTTTTATAGTTTCCATTCCTAATAGTCTTTTCACTGTAGTTTGAACTCAGGTTTATGTATCGACTCATAGTTATTTAGAAGTCAGAGTAGTGAAAAGCAACCCATCCTCAAGACATCTTCCTGAATTTTGTGCAAAGGTATGTCCAATACTTTTGTCAGACACTAGGTTTGATTTCACTGAGCACAACACAATCTGAGCAATTTAAGAAGAGGATGGATTTTCATTTTTATAAAAATGTATACTATAGAACAAATAATAAATAGATATTATTCCCCCTCTCAATAAAACTAATCAGTTAAGAAAGAAAATAGGTAAGATGAATTTGACCCTAGTATCTGATATATGAGCATGGGTATTTTATGATGAAACTCTTTTAATTTATGACAATAAGATAGTTTTTTAAAATTAAAACAAACCTCTCTAATTATTTTCTCCCAAATTTAAATGCTCAAGGTTATCTTTGGTGTTTATTTCTTATTCTTCTCACATCTAATTAGAGACCAGTCCTTCATTTAGTCCCACTTCATCGTGTCTTTCTTTTCTTTGTTGGAGTCTTCCTACAGAAATCCATGGCACAGTGTTAAGAAGAGAACCAGTGTTTAACTTGTCTCCAGAATGCTCTCAGTGTGGCAAGCTGGCACATTTATATTTCTTAATTATCACTTCCTCGTTCAGTAACTTCAGTCAGCTATGAATTTCGGAGTCTCAAGTACCTCTACAAACAGATTACAATTTTTAACCCTTAATTCCTCATTTTAAGAATACTTAACTCAATTAGACTCACTGCTGTTTATGTGAAATCTGCTTTTTGCCATTTGGAATGGAAGAAGACCCACCTCCCTCTTTATTCCTGCTTTTCTAATCACTGATTCCTGTTCTTACCTGACTAATGAAGAATTTATTCTAAAGATTTCAGCACAGAATCATATATAGTTTTCTCTGAATTTGTTTTTTGCATCTTTTTAAATTTTAGTGTGTATGTACAGTATTGGTAGTGTGTTCATATACTGTGGTATGTTTATTTAATTCCATATATCAGAAGAATACAGTGAATTTTCCCTTTCTTCTGCCCACAAACCAAATTCTTCTTCACAGAGGTAACTACTATTAATATAATTCTGTATATCCTTCCAGAAACACTGTTTTCAAGCCAATCCTCACTAAAGCTCTTTTCCAGATGTTTATGTGCTGCATGTGCTATTTGACTATTAGCGTACAAAGAGCTGCCCCATTTTGAAGATTGCATACAAGTATATCATTTATATAGTGTGATTTTCTTTCTCTATCCTCTGATGATAAACATTTTTGATAAACATAGAAAAGATTTTCTGATTAACTTTTATCCTTTTGTTTCTATGATGCGAAATAAACCACAAGAGTGCGCTGTTTAGCAGAAGTACATTCTAATTATTCTGCACCCCCTCAATCCAGCACTTTGTAAAAAGACCAAATATCAGATATACAATATAATAGAAAACCTGATATGTCTGAGCAAAATAAGTGACAGAAAATAGAGCTACAGAGATGCATATTAGTAATGCATGACAAAAAGTGATTTAAGATTTGCAACTTCATTCATTTTGAGTTTTATTTTGATGTTGAGTAACCACTGATGGG